GTGCTGAGGTTGTAGGAACTGGTAAGCGAAGACCATCAACTGGCACTGCCGTCCTGCTGTGTGTCCCATCCACCTGTGGATCATGTCGATTGTGACCCCCTCTGCCAAATAGACCCTGGAAAAACGCCCTCGGACCTGGTGACTGCGACCGACCACCTGTCTTCGGTAACGGCAAAGATACTGAGGGACCAGATGGGAGATGACTTGCGGTAACTCCTGAAACTCCGGCGCCCAAAACATATTGATCTACACTCTGAGGTAGACCCGAGGGAAGCCCTTCCCGACCCATAGAACCTGGCCCTTGCTCAGGATCATCACCTTCAAGTACACCGTCACGCTGACGAGGAGGACCTTGTTGTCCAGGGACCGATGGGGGATGACCTGTGGTAACTCCTGTGAAAACTCCGGGGCCCGCATCATTGCACGTCTGAAGCCCTGGGGGTGGAGGTAGAGCAGGTATTGTAGTTGATCTCTGCACCACAGGATCCCTCATTTCATGAAGATCCAGCTTCCTTCGAAGTTCTTGAGCCTCCCTCATCGCATCATCTGTTCTCTCACGCTCTCTCCGGAGCTGCTGGTTGAGATCTCCCATAGCCGCCTCTAGCTGTCTTGCCACTTCAGCCTGAACCAATTCTGGTGAAATACCTGCAGATCCACTAGACGACGGCGGTCTGGGCTCAAGGGCCGCAGCAGGTTGCCCTGCATAAGCCTGCGCCGATTGCTGAATAGCGGTAGAAGATGCGCCTTGATTCGGCCACTGTGCTGCAATGCTCGCTGGACTATGAGCGGTCCACGAAGTTACCTCCACTGTCTTCTGAAGGTAGTCTCCTAACCGAGAAAGCCAAGCTGCAGCCCGAGTTGTCGTACCTTGAGCCGCCACTGGTGACTGACCAGGTAGAGGAGAAGGGGTGAACTGCGGAAATAATCCAGGTTCAGGAACCGCTGTTTCGTCGCGCACCGTTCCGGTAAAAATATTCGTTCGCGCACCCAGTCCGGTATCATCCCTCACGCCCGAGGGGGAAGCCTCCACTGTTCCACCATCTTGAGGAAGCTGACGTGGAGCAACTTCTTGCACAGTCACAGTAGCTGCACTTCCAGGCACCAACGGCGGATTGGTGGTTTCCGTCAACTCACCATCGACAGGTGAAGAAACCACCCCATTGTATACTGGTGCCACCTCCTGCACACCAAGCCCTTGCGGGGAGTTACGCAGCGGCTCGAAGGCCGTGCGACCATAGTCCGGGCCTCTTGCTTCGCCCTCGATCATCACGTTTGTTGGGCTCATACCCTGCTGAAGACATGGTGCGGCAGGGGTTCCAGGAATAGCAGCGGGTGAAGCCATGACTGCACAGCGAATTGAAAGTAGATCACTATTTTCCACGGCATGCGAAGGTCTTGCCTGCTCTGGCTTGGTTAATGCTGCGAAGTGCTCTGCTGCAAGCTCTGCTTACACTGTACGGCCGACGCATGCACACCTCTTTAGCCATGAAAGCCTTCGGTTTTATAGATGGTGGTACAGCATGCCAGGGAGAGGAATTCAGCATTAAGGGTTTGCTTAAAGTTTTCAGTTCCCCGAACCTAAACCCTAAAAGCCCTAAACCCCCAAACCCGACGAGGACGAAAGCGTCTTCGAGACTCGCTTGAAGAGTCTAGCGGACGAGGCTCCGATGATATCTGAGTCGGAGGTTTGCGGTTTAGGGGTTTAGGGTTCAGGATTCAGGGGTTTAGGGTTTGGGGTTTAGGGTTTAGGGTTTAGGGTGGTCCAGACCAAAGTTACGGGCCGGGTAGAGGGTCTTTTCTCATGGAGGATCAGCAGGTGACACCATTGGCTCGAGACTGGCCCTAATTGGAGGGTGCTCTGCTGATAGACCCCAACGCTAAAGTTTACTTAATTAGTGCTGACGCCCCTTCTTTTCTCTGCACTTACTATAGATCCGGATGCCCCAAGCACTAGCTGACTAGATCAACTTGACATGGTTGGTGAAGCATTGAACCCCTTCAGAGCTGACAGCTTGAGTCACCACTCCCGAAAGTCAAATTTCCACACAGATGAGCTTTCAAGTATTTCCAGGCATCGTCCGCAGCCAGTCAGTCAGTCAGTCAGTCGCCTGCCCGCACGTACGCACGTACGCACGTATGCAAGCAGTCGCACACTGAAGCACCCACGCACTCACGCAGTCGCGCATTCACGCACTCACGCACTCATCCACTATCTCACTCGCTAGCTGCGAGCTCACTCACTCACTCATTGACTCCCCCTTGGTTCACCAACTGATTCACCTATTGATCCGCTCAAGGATTCATCCACTCTTTCCTTCTGTCCATCCTTCTCCGCTGGATTGATTCAAATCAGTGTACTCCAGTTCAATCCAGTTCGATGCAGCTGAATGCAATCTAGTGCGATTCGAATGCAGTTCAGTCCATTGCAATCATGCATTCATGCATGCATGCATCCATGCATCCGTGCGTTCATGATGCAATCATTCGTTCGTTCATCGATGCATGAATTCAGTCGTTCATTCCAATCATTCCATCCATGCATTCATTCATTCGTTCATTTGTTCATATGTTTTTTCGTTCATGCATTCTTCCATTCATTCATGCACTTCTTCTTTTCTTCCTTCCGTCATTGACTGTTTGGTTCGTGTGTTCGAACGTTCAATCATCAGTTCGTCGATTCATTCGGTCGTTCCTTTGTTCATTCATTCATTCGGGCATTCAATCGTTCCTGTATTCATCCATTCTTTCTTTCTTTCATTGATTCCCGTACTCCGACAAATCCAAGCCGCTGTCAAGGCGCTACGTACCAGGATGGAGTCGGAGATGCAGGTGGGGCGTAGAGATGGGGACTCTGTCGTTTTGGTTCAGGAGCCGAGACCTATTCTACGGACTTCCTTATATCCTCCACAACCTTTAGTCTTGAGCTCCAAGAGCATACAACCGTGCAAGGCAATATCCGATTGAAGTGTCAACCTTGCATGGTGCTGCACACTGATTATCGGATTTGCCAGTGTGTTGGTTGCTTTGTCCTTCTTTATCTCTGAAACTATGCAAGACTGCCACTACCAGTCACTACCACAGACTACTGCCATCGTCACCACCACTATTGCCTCCTGCCGCCACCGCTCCCCCTAATTCACCGCTGCCACTGCTACGGTTGATGTTATAAATGCAGGATTCATACTGTCAGCCGTACCACCAGTTCTATTTCTGCTGCCGCTATGTATATGTATGTCATACAGTGCGTATATGTATACGTAGTACTATATGTATAGATACCAGTATTACAGATACTCTGTCAGTCAATATATATATATATATACACATGCACACATACATGTATATATATATACAATATACACACATGCATACATACATACATGCATGCATGCATGCATACATACATACATACATACATACATGCATACATACATTATGCATCTACACACACACGCACGCACGCACACACACGCACACATTGTATGATAAAAACTGACTGGTTTTTTGCCGGCTACGGTGGAAGCCCTCAGCAATCAGCCGAAGCCCGCCAACACCACATCCCCAATTCCGGGCCTTGCTCCAAATCTGCAACTTCACATCCCCACGCCCTGAACCTAGCCAGCTTGCTAGCTGGCCAGCCTACCTACCTACCTACCTACCTGCCTACCTACCTACCTACCTACCTACCTACCTACCTACCTACCTACCTACCTACCTACCCCTGCAATCCTGCCCGCCTCACCTCCGACCTACCTACCTACCTACCCACCAACCTACCTACCTTACCTACCTCCACCTGCCTACGTACCTGCCTACCTACCTACCTACCTACCTGCCTACCTACCTACCCACCAACCAACCAACCTACCCACCCACCTACCTACCTACCCACCCACCTACCTACCTACCCGACCTACCTACCTACCTACCTACCTACCCACCTACCTACCTCGTTTTTGCATGAAAGACTGAGTACCACGATGGACAATCTACGGCGAGCCCTAACAGCCCCAAGCAGAAACCCTGAACGCTAACCACACCTTCAGCTTCAACCTCTGAACTCGACATCCTAGGCCCCAAAGCAATCAACACTAGCAGCCTATGCCCCATAGGGTGTAGGGTTTAAGGTTGCCAAAAAGCACAACGTTCAGGGCGCCCTGGTTCAGATGGAGGAACCCTAAACCCTCAACCCCCCAACAAAAGCAACGTTCAGGGCGCCTTGGTTCAGATGGAGGAGCAGGTGCGAAACTTCCAAGGTGTTGTCGACCGACGACTCCAGGAAGCCCCACCGGTTCGGAGCTTCGGGGGTTTACAGGTTTAAGGCTGGGCACAGTATAGTTAAGACCCCATTAGATGTATATGCATACATACATATATAGATATATATGTACATATATATATATATGTATACACACCCACACACACGTATATATATATATATATTTATTTATTTGTTTATGTATAGTCTGTACAGTCTTATGGTTTCATATACTACTATAGTGTAAGATACGATAATGTTATGTAGCCCAAGTCTTTTTAGGGCTTCAGGGTTTGGGCTTTGGCTTTACGCCTGCAGGGCCAAGGGGTCCTAAGGATTCAAGAGTTCAGGGTTTAGGGTTCAGGGTTTAGGGTTTAGGGTTTAGGGCTTGGGGTTTATGGTCTTTTTCAATCTGTTGCAGGAAGGCTTGAGAGTGTCGGGTTTTTGGGCTGAAGAGTTTGGCTGTCAAGGGTTTGCTCTGATTTCAAGTCAAAGGCTATTCGGAACATTTTTTTACAGGATTTCCTGAACTATTTTCTAAGCTTCAAGGTTTCCAATCGGAATTCTCACAGGCCGATTAGTGTACGTTCTCCAAAGACTTCTTACTTCGTAAACGGTTGTACAGCCGCCCCTATCGTGAGAGTTTATAGGCTGTGGGCCCAGGGGTCTAGGGTTTAGTGTTTGGTCCATGGGCACATGTGAGGTCTAGAGGGGCTTCGTAAAGGTCCATGTGGTTTAGGCTGTCATTGTACTTGCAGTCTCGCTTCATCGAGTTTCAGCAAAGTTCTATGGAGTTCAAAGGCTCCAGAAGGGTGTCAGGCGGTCGACTTGGAGGACGGGGAGGATCCAATAGTTGGGGTTCTATGTTGTGCATAGGCTCCCACTCCAAGGGTTCAGGGTTTGAGTCTATAGTTTAGAGGTTGCAGGATAGTGTTCCCGGTTTCGGATCTGGAGTAACTTAAACGTATCCCTATTGAAAAGAAAACGTGCTGCTCCCGTGCTAGTCTCCTTGTTCCTCCAAGGACGGGACTCGTTCTCATGCTGCGCGAACTGAAGTTTCAAGCGCTACTGTACCCTCAACCTGAAGCCCTAACCGGCCAGATTCCCAGTGCAAAAAAGCTTGCTGCCACGACCCATCTTTCTCAAGCCATGCGTGCGCATCTTTGTAGGAGACAAGCACCCTGAGGCCACTAACCCACCACAGGCCCCAACCCTAAGCCCTACACCATAGAGATTAGATCCCAAACCGCGACGCCACACAGCTTACATGCTGCAAGACCCTTTTGTTTGCCGTAGTTACGGCGCAAGCCTGAAGGCCAGAGCCTCATGGCTTGGTGTAGGAATTACAGATTGGGATTAAGGGGCTTAGCAGCTAAACCCGTGGTACGCGCTGACGATTTCAGCGGAAGTGCCAGAGGACGCCGACAGGGCGCTTTCCGACTGACTCAAACTATGCACCAGTCAAGAGTTGCGCACCCTAAATCCTAAACCCTAAAACCTGAACCGTAAACCCTTGAACCCTAAACCCCAATAAAACCCTAAAGCCTTAACACCTTGAACCTTGAACCCTAAACCCTAAACCTTAAGCCCTAAACCAAAAACTCTAAACCCCTAAGCCCTCTTTCAACCCAAGACACAACACCCAGCCAGCGGCTTCATCTCACCCGCTCGGCTGCAGTGTGTGGCCTCCTGCCCGGGCCCCAAGAGGAGGCGTGGGGCTTTGCTTTAGGGTTTAGGGTTTAAGGTTTAGGGTTTGGGGTTTATAAAGGGTTTAGGGTTTAGGATTTAGGGTTTAAGGTTTCGGGTTTGGGGTTTATAAAGGGTTTAGGGTTTAGGATTTAGGGTTTAAGGTTTAGGGTTTAGGGTTTGGGGTTTGGGGTTTAGGGTTTGGGGTTTAAGGTCTAGGCTAGGTTTGTGGTTCAGGGTTTAGGGTTTGGGGTTTAGGGCTTGGGATTTTTGAGCGTTCGGGTTCTGGTTTGGGGCGTGGGGGAGCTGTGGATTTGGGGCTTCGGGGGAGCCAGGGTCTGGCTACAATGCCTGCTCTTTCGTCATTCTGTTCATGATTTAGGGTTTAGGGTTTAGGG